AAACCAATCCTTCTTTCTGGACCTAAACACTATTGTGAGAGTTGTGAGGCCTTGCATTGCATCATTTTTGATCTTATCTTGGCAAAAAGTGTTAGGAATAAGGCTGGCAAGGAGAAGCTCTCTTGTAGACACCAGCTTGCATTTTGAGCTTGGTATTAGGTTAGGAGTTTGGGAAAGGGTAGTGTAAGTGGTTTGAGCTTTAATTGTTTACATCTTTGAGAAGAAGAAGAAGTATGGGATTGGTAGTATGGGGGAACAGTTCATTTTGTGGTTAAGTTAACTAGGAAGAAAGCTCTAAGTGCTAAAGAAGAAAGGTGCCAACAACAACAAAGCTTACAAAAGGTCATCCAAAAGGAGTAATCAGACCAAGCAATCGACCAAAGGTGATGAAAATGGCGCCAATCATGCAACAAAGAAGAGCAAGTTCCAAAAAAATAAACCACACAAGCAAAAGAAGAAGGAGTTTCCCCAAATATGAAGATGGAAGAGATCAAATGCTTTGGGAAAGGGTAGATTTTGAAGTTTCACTTGGGGTTTTAGAAGTTATTAGGTTCATCTTGGGTAAAAAGGGTAGAAGAAAGCTTTGACTTGCATGCATAGGTGTGCTTTTACCTTTAGCATTTTGCCTAAGATAGAATCATTTCATTGAGTGATCCCCAAAATCTTTGAACCCTTATTTGAATGAGATCATTTTCATCTCATGACCATGTCCCTTGACCAAATGTTTTCTCTTGATTTGCACAAACATGATCCATTGGTTACTGATTAATGAATGTTAAAGAGTTGGTTGATTTGAATGCTTGTGTAGGCTAAGCTAGAGTTCATTGTTTGCTATGATGGGTATGGCTAAAGTTTTTAAAGTAGAACAATCTCTATGCAACTTAGAACCTTTAACTTGGGCATTGAATCAGTTTTTCTATTGACATCTTTAGTTTTGAGCTCCCGCTTTCAAACCTCACTCTCCCATTTGTTCTTATTTGCTTGAGGACAAGCAAAAGGCAAGTGTGGGGGTGTTGATATCTCTTGGATTTACACCATTTAGGATTCCATTTAGTACATGTTTTGGTTCTCTTTTGCATGTTTTCCCTTAGTTTTTGTCTCATTTTCTTCTCCTTTTAGACTTAGGTTGCATTTAGAGTATAGTTTGCATTATTTTTGCATTTTGGATGTTTTTAGGTGCTTTTGGAGCTAAAAGAAGCTTGGAGGAGTTTTGGGGATGATTCAGGATGCTAGCTGGGAAAAAGGGAACAAGAAAGATCAAAGCAGACAATCTCTGCAGAAGTTTTCGGTCAGAGCACGGTGAACATCGGTCAAGGATGACCGATACGGAGCAGTATTGATCACCAGTATCGATCAGGAGTGACCGACATAAACCCAGCAGATGAATTTCGGTCACCAGCATCGGTCAGAAGTGATCGACATAAACCCAGCGGATGAATTTCGGTCACCAGCATCGGTCAGGAGTGACCGACAGGATTCAAAACGACTGAAGATCAGCTCAGATGAGGTGTTTCCATTCCGATTTGGCTTCGGCGTCCTTCATCAACGTTGTAGCCACTTGAGTTAGCTTTCTTTTGGTCTTAGTTTCGACTCATTCCCATCAGTGGTTGAATAGTTACGGCGAATAAAGTGAGCACATGTCCATCTGGAGTTTTTACCGTTGATCTTGACCGACTTGAAGATCAGCTCGGACGAGTAGCCTCCGTCCCTATTCAGCATCTTCACTCTTCACTAAAGTTGTAGCCACGTGAGTTAGCTTTGGTTTCAGGTCATTCTGATATGCCGTTCAACAGATATCGCAATTTTTGTGAAACCGCTCAACCCATATCGATCAAACGTATCGATCAATCAAGACCGATACAACTGACCGATATGATTCATATCGATCAGCCTAGACCGATACAACTGACCGATACGCTGCCAGACTGAAGATCATTTATTTACAATTTTGCCATTTTCGCTTAGACTCCTATAAATACTTAAAATCTCTAATTTATGGGGAGATATCTCTTTATCCAGCAGTCTCTTCTTCTTTGGTTTAGGTTTTCGGTTTTGTAATTTGAATCTTTGTTTATTTCAATAAAAGTTTTCATTTCCCTTAATCTTTTGTCTTCCTAATCATGATTAACTATCTTTTCTACATAGATTTGATGGTTTTCACCATGTTTAGTGAGTAGTTTGCTTTAGGTTTGAGATTGGGAAAGATGGGGTGATTTTAGTAATTGTTTAGGGTGATTAGGGCTTAGATCTTCTCATTCCCTTTCTTATATGATTGTGCTTAATGTTTAGTACCTCTTTGTTGGAGAATTTGATTTTAGGTTTTCACATGCACACCAAGTGTTTGATGAAATTCCTGAATGAAGTTTAATGCTTGAAAATAGTGTTTAGATAATCATGAGTCTTTACATCCACCATTGAAAAAAAAAAAAATATAGAATCAAGTTAAATAGCGAAATATAGATAAAATTAAAAATATAACTATAAAACTGTGCGAATTAAATTATGAAATTCTCCTATCACAACATTTTCAGTGATTATAATGTTAAATTCATATTAGATCATAATGGTATTGATAATCTATTATGAAGATAGAGTGCAGCGATTAAAACCCGTGGAGAAATCATTCCACACTGATATTAGAGCTGAAGAAAATCGTTCTTAAATAAAAAAAAAACAAAAGAGAAAAAAAAAGGAAAAACTGTCAAATCACCTTAGAAATTGCCTCTCGAAGAGTGAATCATTTGTTTACTAAAAAAAAAATTTACTCTAACTTAGGTTCAAATGTACAAACTCTATTAAAGTATTTAAGTTAACATGAAGTTGAGAAAAAAATGAGTTATTTATACTCAGACACACTTTATATAACTCATTTAACAAAAAATAGGTATTTTTAAAAATTAAGGCACTTTTGATATTTAAATTTACCAAACAATCCCTCACTCATTTTTTACTTCTGTTTGCCGACGACAATCAAACTCAGCCGCTGATTTCTTATCATAAAAATCAAACACAAATTTTCTTCTTACTAATCTGATTATTTAATTCATACCCAGTTTTCTTCTAATCCTTAATTCTTCATTCTCAAATTCACCTATATATCTCGTTTGCATCAGATTTTTGCAAAATTAATTTAAGTTCTCCGAGAAGAGTCTATGAAAGCATTCTTTTATCCAGTATATGCAACTAGGAGATAAAGAGGGGAAAGGTGGGGCTTAGAAAATACATTTGGTGGAGAAGAACATGATATTATTTTATTATGAATCTCCAAACTGATTTAGTGCTTCGCCGAGATCCCAAATTAATTTGGTGCTTCGTCTAGATCCCAAAAAACTGAATCCTATTTCTCCAATGAATCTTTTTAATTTCATCATAGATTGATCCGTTTTAATAACTTTTGTTGAATTTTTGTAGTTTGTAGCAGGCGGTGTGTTCTACGCCAAACTAGATATGAGAAGATGGATAATCAAAGATGGACAAATGTCGAATGGACAAATGTCGATGGACAAAAGACAGCATAGAGACGATGGATAGGAGACAATTGACAAATGCCGATTAACAGAAGACCTACTATCTTGCAACTCCACCGCCTTCAACCACAAACCCACTCTATCACAACCACCATAGACGTCTTGGTGTCCGAAACATGGATATGGACTAATGGATAAAAAAAACATGGATATGAATGATTAAACATAGAAACATGGATATAAACAAAGACTGCATTAAATAATTCAAAGGCCACAAAGATTGCATCAGATAATCATGATATACACCAATTTTGATAGATAATTGGTATTAGATGGTGTGCTATAGAAAACAAACCAGATCAAAACACTAAAATCCATACACACAAAAGGCATTTTCTGTGAAGACACGTATGGACAACCGGAGATGGACATAGACATTTATAATGGACACATATACATTACACAACCAAAAACGTTTGTACGACCATATGAATGAACAACTAAAAATGGATATATACATGTATAATGGGCATCTCGATCCTACTATAATGAAGACAACTACCCATAATTAAAAATAGATTTTTACCTCTAATTTTGTAATGAACAACATTTGATATGTACATAGATGGACAATTAGTAATGAACAGTATGCTTTGGACAACAAACTATATCAAGAAGCTGAAATCGATCATTAGAGATCAGTGATTAAACATCAATTCTCACTTCTAAATTTATCCACAAGACAATATCCACATGGACAAGACTGTTAGAAATTGTCTAATTATTTTTATATATTAGGCATTACATGTTTGAATACAAATATACAATAAGATGGTCATAAACATATATGGGATCCACTTGATTTTATACATGCTTATGAATCCACTTGGTCTTTTCCATGCGTCGGTGTCTATTTCTTTAGTAGTAATATGTTCTTGTCTTCCATTTTGGACTTCAATACGTCTGTGGTGATTGAGAAGGAGTAGATCTGGGTTATAGAGTTTAAAAGGAAGAATTCTGAGATGTTTATGGTGGTTGCAGATGAGTAGATATAAATTTTCTTGTTCAAAAAGAAGAGAAGAAATATATATATATATATATATATATATATATATATATATATGTTGGAAGAAATCGTTGCTTTCAACAATCTCATTAAAATATATTACTGCAATCAGATAAATGTGATATCGCCAATCTTTATACTTGATAATGAAGATTTCATAAAAAATTTCACCACCTAATTTATCAAATCTAACACTTATTCCATAATATCTCTGAAGGTCTAAAATCCAAACACCTAAATATCATATCTAATAATCAAAAAAGAAATAAAAAGATGATATTTTTGGTTTAACAAAAGTTAGAGATCGGTGAAGAAGAAAAGATAACTTAGATTTTTGGTAAACAAAACTGTAACACCTGTTCACTTTCATGTCCTAGGTCTCACGCCCTAATTTTCACCATAAGAACCACACATGCACACATTAAAGAGGGGAAAAGGAGGGGGTGAGTAACAAAGTCACTCAGTGAGGTTGGTCATGTCCGCCCACATGATTTGCAACACCACTATTTAACAATACACGCAAATACTAACTCTAGAGCAAACAACCATTGATAAGTATTTCTAACCATATCACAACTCAACACAAATCACATGACACTCGGCTGGTCGGCACCTCGAAAGGTTTTCACCACCATTAATTCAACATAAAATATCATGACACTGGACTGGTCGGACACCTTGAAAGGTCTTCCGCCACCCTTTAGCTCTTCAGCCGGTTAACGGGCTTTAATGGGATCATCATGTCCTCATTCTCAGTCCGACTGCACTGAAGTACAGACTTAAATGGGATCGCCATGTCCTCACTCTCAGTCCGACTTTATAAATTACTTCCCACTAACATTTCATATTATTTAATATAATCTCATCTCATACGCATAAACAACTAATATCATCAATCTTTCACATTACCACAATCAACAAACAATTCCCTAGACCTAGCATTTCTGGATATTAATTACGTAGAAGCCTTAAGAATCCACGGATCCCGCCCTCACTTTTGCTTTTCGAATGAACGGAAGTGAAACAGACACACAGCACACGATCACAACTCAACGAAGCATACTTGAGGCTGAAGCAACGAAATGGTAACAATACACATGTTACGTTTATGCATTCCCGTAATATGGTTAACGTGACAACAACAGAGGAGATCTTGCTTACCAAATGAATGCTAAACACCACACACCAAACGTAAACAATGGAGAAGAGAAAGCTTGCGGCTGAAGCAACACAAGAGACGACAATTTAACAAGTCACGATTACATGAAATCTCGAAAACGGATGACATGAAGGAAGGCATAGCTTTTGCTTACCGCGGACAATGACGTAGCAGCACCAACAACAGCAAAATAAGCAGAGCGGACGAAGCTTGGAGCTTAAGCAACTACAACAATGGCGGATCAATAAGTCGGAGCTCTCGGGAAAAACTGAACGGCGAAGGTGGTGAGAGAAACATGAATCGCTTACCCACGATAAGACTCAGGAACGACGGTGATGACTCGGAGCAGCAGATCGGCGGTGACGGCGAACGGTGGCGGCGTGACCGAGAAGGCGACGGCTTGGAATCGGTTCACGGCGACTTCTCCTCTCGTCAACAGAATCACGGATGGCGGCTACGGCTTGGTTGGAAACAGTGGCGGCGGCGCTCTCGTGATTCGGGCAGAGCTTCGCTGTCGATGATAGTGGATGCGGCTCGTCGGGTGATTTGGTGCTGCTTTTACACGAAGAAGATGAAGGGAACGATGAGGGTGGGTTTAGGTTTGGGCTGACTTGGGCTGGGGAATTTAGTTGGGCTTTTCCCAAAGTTATTGAGTTTGGGTCGTTACAAAAACAATAAAGATAATTTCAGTTTTTTATGTGGTTCATATACATTACACACTCACAAAGAAGTATCTAATTTTAAGTAAAAAAAAAAAAATAGCAAAGTCGGGGAACCCTACGCTATGGGACTAAAAGCATCACCAACGGCAGAGATCATATCAGCATATCCTAAAAAATATTTTAATAATATAATTAATTTTTATAATTAAATTATAAACAATTAAAAGAACAAACCAATCATTGCTTTCCATTTGTATAGAGACGGTTTGTGAAAACTCTTATATGACAGTTTACTCTCATTCTCTCTTCATCTTTTTTCTTTTTTTATAACTTTTTATTATTTAAAATGTCTCTTAGATCTCTGTTAGAGATGGTCTAAATAAATGTCAACTCTAACTGAGAGGAAGCGAATCTCTTAAAATAATTTTAGTTTTGAAACGAATAAGTCGCCGTCTTCACAACGCGGTTAAGATCTTCTTCACCTTTGTTCTCGTTATTTTTTTCTTCTTATTATATCAAAAATGATGTGTTCTAGAAGATTGACGCATTTGTATAGTATATTGCACTTCTACCAAACTCTTTTAATCATATATCTTTTTGATAGCCAACTCTTTTTTTCATCTTTGTTTTTGAGTGTTAGTTGAAATGTAAATTCTGGGTTTTTTAATTTGTTTTGGTAAGTTTGACGAAATCATTTGTTGACTATGTTGCTTGGAGAAGAAGGGCAAGGGAGAGTGTCATTCTTCTAGAATCATTTTAAAATAGTAGTACTATCGTTATCAGATTATTTTTATGTCATCACATATATCTTAATTGTCAACTTATTGTTGTAAATGTGATATATTTTTCTTTCAAAATATCGAACCTGCTCATAAGTTCAAACTGTTACCATCTTTCAAGAAGATATTTCTTTTATCGTAACATCTATCTACGATATAATGATCGTTATTTTTTTTTCATTGCTTGATAAACGATAAAGACTGATTTTTACAAAGGAATATTTTCATAAAAAAAATGAAAAACCATTCACCATGAAACAGAAATAATAATGAACGAGAGGGAAGTAAAAGCCGAGCAGTACTACTACTAGCATGCATGATATTATGATAGATATGAACGAACCTTAGTATTTAATTTTACCCCAAGTAAATGGTTGAGATTGTAGTAGATGCAGACTATTAAAAAAAAATTAACCATGGAGTATTTTGTTGTAGAGCAACAAATGTGATTTTTCTTAACATTCATACCAAAAACAAAAAAACAAATGTTGATTTTAAAACACCTAAAGCCATATTTTATTGCTCTAAAAAAAGACATTTGTCTAACAAGAACAAAAATATGGTTATAAGTGTTTTTCGAATGATATTTTTAGGATATTTAAGTCACTAAATTTGAATGGCTAAAGTTGATTTTTAAAAACTTTAAAATGAAATAAAACTTGTATTTGAAACAGAAATAAAATAAAGCATTTAGAACCATTTTAAGTCTTCTTTCCAATCCCTCCTTTATGTTTGCAATTCTGGATATTTTTTAAAGTATCAAATGATGCAAGACACAATTTTATATAGATGTAAAATTGCTAAACCTCTATGATCATAGGAGAAACGAGCAGCACCTTAGTTGTCCAAACCCAACCTTGAGAGGAATGACTCAAAATTGGGATCTGCGATGCTTAGTATTTGAGCTTGAGCCGGTTCTGAGTCCAAGCAGAGCAAGCCCATATTTGCGGCTCTCTTTTTATATATAAAATTTCGGTTTTTAAATTTCTTATCCTTCTGACCCGAGTTCGAGCTACAGAGTTTCAAATAAATTTTTTTTTTTTTGATGTTTTTTCAATAAACCAAAATGGCCTATTATTTTTTGGAGCTTGTGGCCCTACAAAAGTCAGGACCGACTCTGATTTGAGCACACAATAGTCATGCGACTCATGCCTACTCCAAGAAGCTACAAAGAACACTAAAACAAACAAAGTTAGTCTCTTAATTCATACTTTACAACTACCGATAATTCTGATAATAAATAATCACACAAGAATGATAATAGAACCCAAAAAAAAAGAATTGTAGTTTCAAAAATACTAATAACTATCATCAAATATCAAAAACTGATTATAAGCTGAAAAACTAACATTGTTTCAGAAACTCTATGTAATTCAAATAACAGTTTCATAGGAACATATAATTTTTATCACTACATTTCTAGAATCCATATTTACTTTGTGCAATTATTAATCAAACTTTAATTTGAGACTATCAAATATTAACAAAGTTGAAGATGTTAATGTAAAAAAAAAAAAAACAAACAAAACAAAGTTGAAGATGTACACCGTTTTTAAAAAAATTATTTTGAACTTTACCCAAACGATATCGTGGTTATTACCAAAACTAGTAGTCAAATTTGACGGGGACAGACCCCTCCATCCAGCTTGTAACTACTAGAAATGACGAAACAATAATAAGCACAAATAAAAGTAGCTCTATTTTTATTTTTTACATTTTTGAATTTACACTCAAACTTCCAAAATATCTAGAATAACAACTTATCTGAATTATTATTTTCTGGCTTTTTTGGCATCATATTATGAGAATCACTTGTCCTAGAGTTCTTAGGGTCCAATGGAAGAAAAGAAGATAACACGTATTTGTAATTTCGTTGGAGAAAATGGCAAACCTGTCAGCGTCTACAATTGGAAGCAACCACCACTTAAGACTGATCAACTTCGTTGTTGGTTTTCTTTAAACTAAAAAACGATGAATTAAATACGTGTGTACATACTCGCATTTAGCGCGTGTGTATTTTGTTAACATATCACATTGTCTTTTTTTTCGTCTGATAATATTAAAACTTTAAATGATACAAGATGAAATACAAGGGAAATATGCATCTACTTCTATTGATATTATAAAAAAATGAAAATCATAGAAACAGAAACCGGAAGCATCGGGGATCAAAGACTAATACAACTGAAAATCAACAAGAAAAATGAAAAAGAACCACAAAATCGAAACTAAAACACTGATTCAAATGAAAAACACTTGAGAGTGATGGGTTGAATATCAAGAACATCATTTCCAATAACAAGCATAAGGAAAGCAGATCTTGAAGAAATTCAAATTAGCTTACAATCTATTGAAGCTAAAAGAACTCAGATCTGTAACCCACTCAGAAACCGCTCTGACCCATCTTTGGGTTTTGGAATCCATCCGCAAGAACACATCACTACTCAACGAAACCAACAATCTGACAGGAGGACGATGAGAGATGAACGGCGACAAACGCCTGCTCACTCACCCAAAGCCACAGATCCATCGAAACCAGATCTGGCTTCAAAACACCACCAGAAAGCAGCGCCGCTTCACCGACAAGCCACACCTCCTCAAAACACGCCTGAAACCGGAGCATATGAAGAAGTCGACACTAGATCTAAAAAATGAAAATTCATGTTTCAAAATTGCCCAGAAAAAAACCCAAGAAAGAAACACAAGACTTAAAAAGAGAAACAAAAACAGAAGAAAATCACCCTCTCACAGTCAAACCGTGGTAAGAAAATATAAAGCATACTCCCAACAATTTTAAAAAGAGTAGAAACAGTAATACTATAGTAGTTGGTAAATTCATTTGAAATTATGGTGCATATATATATATATATATATTCCTTAAAAAATAAATTTAATAGATATTTAATAACTTTGGCTAAACTAGTTAAACCTGACAAAAGTTATGCAGATTAAGAAAGTTTTGAAACATTACAATTTTCATATAATATGATATTATTTTCAAATTTAAAATTTAATAATTATAAATTATTTATAAAATACAAACTAAGTGTGAAAGAATCACATTAGAAATATAAAAAATATATTTTTCACCTATAAGGAAATATATAATTAAAATATCAAAGTATAAAAAAAATATAAAGTCAAATACAAAACATTTCAAATTGCTGCATAAGCAACATAAATAATATATTTCTTTTTAAAAAAATAAAACCTTTAAAACAATACTATTTCTAGAACATAAATATCTGATTTAAATTCATACGAAATTTATATTATATAAGAAAATATATAAGTTAGATTTTTCCTTTTTTTGACAGCGTATAAGTTAGATTTAAAAATCTTTTCCCGAAATAAAATCACTAAACACTATTAAATATCTTTTTGTCATATGAAATATTAATATTAAAATTTTAAAGATACAAAGCTGATGGATAGAGTTCAACATCTCTCTCACACTAAAAACTTGCAAACAGTACGAAAAGGAGACAAAATCTACGTCGATTAGTTTGCATTTGCTTGTTTATTTACGATTACAAACCTAAAATAAAAAAATAAAAAAAAAACTGCTATGTACTAGTTGAGACCAAAAACAAAACAAACAATCGATAACACCTGAAAATATAACCTAACACCAAACCTATACATTAGACCATGTGCAACGCAGGGATCTTAAGCAAATTTCAAAGGATTTTATACAATAAAATAATATAAAGATGGGAGATAAAATAAAAAGTGATCCTTATTTAGGAATCATAAAAATCGATTCTTAAGAAAATGAATGATGATGTAGTCCACATGTCAAGTTTTTTAAATAGTTACAAATTAATTAATTATTTTATATTAAGTTTCGATACCTTTTTTGAGTTTCTCAGCGTTGCGCATACTCTTAGAAATATTTTGCACGAGACATACTAAAGATGCATTCAATTATACCATCCATAAGCGACTCCTCATTTAGTAATCAAAGTATACCTCTTAACTCTAGGATTCCTAAACTTCATAATCTGATAAGACATACATGAAATGTTTTTAACAAATTCCTCAAACATGTTTCTGGATGCAATGTCAATAAAAGACAACTTGTAAACACCTGAAAGAAAGTTATTGAACATCCCGAATCTCGATCAAATTTGTATT